CTAGCTCAAACCACAATACTATACATTTAACGTATTATCTTATTACTGGTATTATGGAAAGATTACTAAATTGTTCAGGAAATCCATTAAAGTCATTTTTAACAGATATGTCAGCGGCTCAGATAGCAGAACAGAGGTCGCATGACATTATGTGGAAATGGGAACAACAACAGAAATCATCCTTTTTCAAACAAAGCAAAAAATCCTTCCCCATGTTTCCGTACATTGAAGAAAAAACTCGGGTTTTTCTCCTTTTTTTTTTCATTTATCCTTTTCTCAGAAATTTCCATCGATTTGGAATTTTGTATTTCTTTTGCAGCCAATATAATTCAACAAAATTTTTAGATTTTAGAATTTCAAAGAAGGAAGGCTTTTCTGTAATCCGTATGATATTCAGCTGAGAGAATAACAGATTTTGAATTTATGTAGCTTATTAAATGATTTATACTGTAACAAACTGATTACTGTTCAGTGGGATGATTATGGTGAAATCATACGGCCGGAAGAATACATGATCGCGGATACACCTGTGGTGCCACAGATACCACCTGAACATAAGGATGGTGCTGATGGTACTTTTGACGGACAAGTAGTACCTCTTTATGAAGAACGAGAATGGCCATCAAAATGTATCAGTCAGATTATGAAAATGGAGGTTAGTCTATCTTGACAATGTATAATATATTAGCTTGTTTTTCTTGCAGATTATACCTTATTTCCATTTTCAATTAAATTTCGCATGTATTGATGTCTGTTGTGGTGTTCATCACTTACCATTTTTCTCTGCCTCGTCCTATAGTGCCAATTAACACTTGATAAAGAAATTCATAGGTGATCCGTTTGTTTCAAGGTTTTGGAAATTTCCATTTTTTTGTTTATAATTATGAAATGTTAAGATTGGAACTGGTGCATAAAAACATAAACCTTTGATTTTGAGAGGAATTAATAACGTATAAAACTTAGTATTTGCAAAAGAGGTGAAAGTTTTATTAAAAAATTTCAAGGAAATAGCGTGAATATTTTGGGAAAATTATAAATCAGTAATTAACAGTTCGTTCGAATGTCGGTTCACTTTCGTAATGCATTTCTTCAGTTGCATTCATTCCTTTGTTTTTAGTAGTCTGAAACTAATTGTAAATTTCGACAAAAAATTATTTTCACAATTGTGTATAATTAGTGGAACTTCCATTTTTTTACAGATTGAATTTCCGCTGTTTGAAAATTCCTTGAATGTGACACTTTTGTCTTCCATGAAGCTATGCAGATTTTGTAATTATTATAATTATTATTATAACAGTTGTTTTATTATAATGGTTGTGATTATTATAATAGTTACAGGTGCTTTGTAAAGTGGATTTCATCGATTTCGAGGGACGTAGCGATGGCGAGTCAGCAAAAAAAATTTTATCACAAATAAAACCGAAGCAGCTAATAATTGTTCATGGTTCATCAGCGGCTACTCGACATCTTGCACAATATGCTCAGCAAAATGGCATTGTTCAAGTAGGCAGTTTAATACATTTTAAGTTGGGCTAAAAAACCTATCACTAGATCTTACGTATCTTTACGTAAGTCCTTTAAATATTACACAGTATTTAAAGGACTCGTTATTCAACGACGACACGCTAGTATGCAATACGTTGGCTTATGTGAATTTTGTGAAACAGATTATGTAGTGAGCAAGTTTTTATCTTTATTTTATCTTTCGATTACGGTAGTCCCAATCATCTCCATTTTCGGCTGACAATATCAGTGTATGAGCAGCTGTTAATTAATAATTCAGTACCATAAGAAGTTATTTAATTCTTCTGCAGGGTAAAATATTCACGCCACGGTTGGGTGAAATCGTTGATGCAACGATCGAATCACACATATATCAAGTAACACTAAGTGATGCCGTTATGTCGTCACTGATTTTCCAAACGGTTAACTTTTTGAATGTTATTTTGTTGTGATTTGTTTGTTTCATTTCGATTTGTGATCAAGTAATAGTTTCCATTTCGGGTTTTTAAAACAACGATCGGTCCAGTTGGAAGCGCGATTTTTCACTTAATGAAAGAAATGAATTATGGGTCTAGCATGATGGTTTGTTAATTTAGTAGGACCTGTAATATTTCATGGTATAGGTGAAAGATGCCGAGTTGAGCTGGTTGGATGCTCGAATAGTAAGGAGGAAAACGGTAACACCGGGGCAAACCCAAAATGCAGATGAGGAGAATTGTGAAACAAATGGAAATAAGGAAGAAGTGGAGGAAATGGAACAAGATGGTGATGAAGTCGAAGGTAAACGCTTGAGCAATTTGAAGGTGGCAGCTGCGGATACATTTTGCCTGGAACCGATCCTTTCTGCTAATATCCCTCCGCATCAGGTTTATTATAATTTTTTCTCTTTTTTTTTTTTCTGTGCATGCCTGATGAGGTTAGTGAGAAATAGAGACACACTGAGACTTAAAGAGAGTGACTTAAGCTTTGAAACTTAAAGCTAATTTGTGCAAAGTAATTTATTTTAAGAAATGTTACCGTGAATGTTTGGAATCTTTAGGACTTATGATTAATTGAATCATCTGCATTCCATCCAGCAATAGAATGGGAGAATATCTAGGACTTTGTGGGGGGAATCTATATATATTTGTATGCAAATATTCGGCATTCAGTCATGCCATGCGAAAGGGATGCTTTCTTAACTGAGTGAGATGGATGGAGAAGGGGAATTAAATGTTTTTTTTTCTTCATTTTAGACGGTATTTGTCAATGATCCGAAACTTTCCGATGTGAAACAGTTATTAGCTTCGAATGGTTTCCGAGCCGAATTCAGTTCCGGTATCTTATATATAAACAATATTGCAAGCATTCGACGTAATGAAGCCGGTCGCTTTCACGTAGAAGGCTGTGCATGTGAAGATTATTACAAAATAAGGGATATCGTTTATGCACAATTTGCAGTTGTATAGTCTGAAGTTGCTCATAGCTGTTGATTTCATGTTGCCTTTTTTCATCGGGTCTGAAACAAATAGTTGTGAAATTGAAATGACGACAACTTGAGATTCCATTCAAATTGTTAAAATTGTTAGTGAAGTTAGTAATCAGCCTGATAATCTGATAAATATGAAGGTTTCTATATAATAGAGCTATAAAAATATTTAAAGATTTATAATGGTTTGAAAGATGTGATTTATTACGTCATATTTTTAGAATATGAAGGACAGGCATTCACAAGGGAATGTGGTTAGTTCGAAACATTGAAAATAGCTTCAATGTCATTTAAGTGTACGACGTAATTCATTTTAAATTATAAGAGCCGGTTATTAAGTAAGAAAAAACTATTGTATATATTGAAATAACGAAAAAAAGTTAATTTTATTAGTATTTAAATTAAACTGATGAAAATTTGATTTAACTGAGTTCCTGTCTCGATCGGCAAATAAGCATACATTCATCTAACTAAGTTATTTAATCATCATTAGATGTTGAGATGAAATCGTAGCGTAACATAAGCGCATTAACTGGTAATGAGCAACTTTGATATCTTGATGATATAAGATTATACAATAGTTTGAGGAATGGAATTCGACTTCAGATATTCTTCATGCAAGCATCCTTTCATTGTCTCGGATTTCATTCTTTGGATAGATGAAAGGTTCTGAGATTAACTGAAATCCACGATATTTTAATAGCATCAGGTTTTTATAATATCCGGAAAAAGTTTTGGAATCGGAGTACGGAGTGAGCGGAATTATTTTTTTTTCTTTCGAGATTTTCGCGTCGTCAGCAGGGGATGAAGGAAGACATATAGAACTTTTCAATTTCAGTTTTCATATTGATTGGGAATATGCGAATATTTTGTTACGACATGCTAATTTTTTATTTTAATGTACGTATATATTAAATACTAAATTAAAAATTTACAGCACATGGTTGATCAGACTTTCCGATTTGTTAAAATGGTTGTTTTGTTTGGTTGTTATAAATTTCTAATTGTTAGTTGTTTTTCATTTGTTCCTCCAAGTTTTATTTGGTGTTTAAAATTTGGCGAACAATTTTTAATATCATTTAATTTTTGTTTCCAAAGATTTTCCAAGTGTAAGAATTATTGTCAAATAAATGAAATTATGAAATTGGTTTAAGTGTAGTTTAATTTTCTAATTCTGCTAAATGCACGAAAATGATGCAATATTTTCTAATTCTGCTAAATGCACGAAAATGATGCAATATTTTCTAATTCTGCTAAATGCATGAAAATGATGCAATATTCATTTTCCAAGCTAATTTGTGTGTTTAAATTAAAGATATGAAGAAATTTTTAAAGGTTATCCTCATCAATAATATGATAAGTGCAACAGTTAGTCTGTTATGTTATTCAAGTTATTATCAACAACAATACGATGAATGTGATAATGGCAATTATTGCTTTTTTTGGAAGATTATTCAATGCACAACCCAATTAATACACAAAATCATACACGGGGTTGTGAACAGCGGGGTC